TATATATATATATATATATATATATATATATATATATATATATATATATATATATATATATATATATATATATATATAAACACACATATATGTAGTAATAATATTACACCAGTTTGAATATTCTGGGCAAATCATAAAAGGCAAAGAACCTGAACAAAAAAAAAATAAAATAAAATAAATAAAATAAATAGCAGATCAATAAATGAAGAAATAAATGAATAAACAAAGAAATAACATAATCATAACAAACATAACTAAGCCAATAACTTTAATAAAGGATGAGAACCACTAAAAATAATCGCATTCCATAAAACTGAGGCATGCAGTGAATGTACAAGAAAAAAAGAAAAAGAAAAGAAGAGGAAAACTCACCTTCTTCTTGCTGTCTTAATCTGTGGGATATTCCTTTTCTGTTTGTTTTACTATGAACTTACCTTACTAAGTATATGTTGCCATAAATATGACATATCATGATGAAGGGTAAATAGACAGAAGGATCAATAGATGATGTGTAATCTTTGTTAATTTCCACTGCTTACTGGATTTATAAACTCTTTCACACATTACAGTTGTGAATGTGTAAGACCTGGGTTTATCTGCTATAAATAATAAAATCAACCCTTGTTTTAGCAGACCTATTACATAAGCTTCAGATCTAGCTAACAAAGAGGGTACACTGTGTCAAAAAACATCAAAATACCTGTAAGTTCTTTTTAATTTGGCATTCACTGAAAGAAACTGTTTTTTTGTTTTTTACCTATCATTTGCAGTTTTAAATATCTCCGCTAAGGCTAGCTACAAGTTATGAATAAAAAAAGACACTACAAATAAATCAAAATATAAAGAATAAATTAATAATAAAGTTTATTTTGCCATTATACAGAAAGTAAAAGACTACTACAGATAAATCATCAAGGAACTCTAGCATTTATGATAATTATGAAAGCAACAGCCAATCACCTACCAACCTTAAAACTTAGTTTAGCCCCCAGGTACAAGCATGCATTAAATGAATTTGAAATAAAGAGCTTCTCTGTTGTTCTGAATACCTACTGTGCATGATAAAGATAAGGTTGTTTACTTTGGATTTGAGTAAAATTCTCTTGCAATATAGCACAGAACTCCTCCTTTGGTCTGCTGAAACAAGGGTCTATTTCTTCACTTAAGTTGCTCATTTACTTACTCTGATTTCTGACGCATGTGGCACAATCTTTTGAGAGTCCACAGGTGCAACTGGTACATATCCTCCAAGGGCTTGAGGGTGCTTGAGAATGTACGGGATGGAGAAGCCACCACTCATTGAGGGGGAAACCATGATTGGCTTCATGATTTCTAACTTGGTCAAAAATTCTTGCAAGAAGTCAGCTTTGTCCACATTCTTAGTTCTATTTGTCTCTCCGTAGCCTTTTAAATTAATAAAATTATACTTCAAATATCAAGAACAACATTTACATGCTGTGCTGGTTTTAATGCTACACAGGAAGTAAGAAGAATATAAAATGTTATCTTTAACCAAACCCTAATAGACTGTATTAGTTGAGGATAATTTCTAGTTTTACATATCAAAACATTTCCATTGGATCGCAATTTATCAACAACACCTTCTTTTTCAGATGCTACTTTAAATTTAAGTTAAACAGCACTATTTCCTGAATTTTGTATATATTTCTATTTCAGATTTCTTTGCAAAGTCAGTGGGATGCTTTCTACTTAGCCATCATTTAAAATTACTAAAATTTAGCATTAAAATTAATAGTAATATAAATACTACATCATAAAAAAATTAAAAACAATTATGATGATTTATGTGGTAAGTTGCATGTCATGATTATACATTCTGTGGTGAATCCTACTACACCAGTGAATGCCACACACTGAGATGGAAAAAGGAACATTAACAAGAGAAATAAAGGCAAAGCAACCAACTGGTAATTTTCGACATCAACCAATAAAACACATCTCAAATACAAGCAGTAAAGTTATAGTTCTTATGCTGATTAGAGGCCACTATTTGTCATTTACTATAAGATATCACAGGCTTATTAATTATCTATGTCAACTATTTCCTATTAACAAGTCTCTTGTTATTTGGTTTGTCTCCATGTATTAGAACATTAACAGAAACGGAAGGAACATTTTACTGAACAATGATAGCTAGCAACAATATCAATGCAAACACTGACTTACAATATATATATGCATTTTTTTTTACTTGTCACACTTTAACCCACTGACAGAGAGCATATGCATACATTTTCTGGGACTACCTTACCTTACCTATTTACTTCATTCCTTGATTTTTGGGGAAAAATACTTTTATTATAGTTATTACTGTTATTAATGTTATAATAAAAGTAATAAGAATAAAAACTATTTTTCCAAATATTCAAATTCTTCCATAATATATAGCCAAGCCAAGGGAATACTTCACAATTTAACTACAAAAGCTGATACTAAGGCTGCATACTTTACATAAAAATATACACAAATAAGGAAATTAATCAAATAGTGCTTTTAATTGACAAATAATAATTAAACAAATACAATTTCTTTCATATATGCATACATACATACATACATACATACACACACACATATATATATACATACATAATATATATATATATATATATATATATATATATATATATATAATATATATATATATATATACATATATATATATATATAC